ACATGACATTACATTACTCTACACACATGCACACACACACACACACACACACACACACACACACACACACACACACACACACACACACACACACACACACACACCATAAGAGAGGGCATGGGGCATGTTGAATCATTTTTGCTTTTGTATCATTTGTTTATTGATTTTTTGATTTGATTCAGATTATAGTTTTTTAACATTCTAACCCTTATCCAACACTGCATATAGCTGAAAACATTTCCAGCGTCCGAAAAAACCAAGCCCACCTAAAATACATTTTTGAGAGTGAGCATGCTAAAATGAGCAGAGAGGTAAATACAATCATCCAGCTGCCCCATTGATGCGAAACATTAGCAGTGGTTGGCTGCTTACAGCGACTATGGAAATCTGCAGGGAGACCATGCACTGTAAACAGTGACATTTCACTGGAGCACGGCAGCCTTCTGAAACTCTAGTTGCCTCTGATCATCATGCTATTTAGGGTTGTCTTTGAGGGTGTTTGTTTACCTTCCCCTACTACTTAGTTCTGGACATGGATGGGTTTTGGTGCCAGTGATTTCCGAATGAGATGGAAAGGGGTTTGTTGCTACGAGCAGCTCAGAAGAGAGGAGGGAGGGACGGGCTGCTGGGAAGGCGGGTGATATCGTTTTTGTCGTGGCGGGCGGCTCAGAATTCGAGTTTTGGGGTCCTTTTTTGTTTCATCTGTCCATATGGGTTGGGAACCTTGACAAAAATGGGTCACGGGTAGCGAGTGTAATGGTTTTAGCGTCACCTTCTTTTTTCTGTCTGTCTTCTTGTCTCCTGATGTCGTCCCCCTCTCTCTTTCTTTCCCAGTGATGGCCTCAGCTGCGCAGCTGTGCCGGTGATCCTGCCGCTGCATGTAGGGAAGAAGCAGAGACGCCTTGACAACCGACCTACCTTTCTCTCTCTCTCAGAAAAAGAAAAGACTGGGGGAGGGAAAAAAGAAAACACACCAGCATAAACAAATGCGACCATGTACAGCGTGGAGGACCTTCTCATCTCTCATGGATACAAGCTGCCCAAGCATAGCACCCCTTCCTCCACCCCTACCCCAGCCCCCGCGTCAACGTCCCACCAGGCTCCCTCGTCCTCACCTCCGTCCTACAGCAAACACCATGAAATCCTAGAGAACAGGCCTGGCCCCAGGGCAGTAAATGGCTATGAAAGAGGGCCTGGGCTGCCCTTTGGAAACGGAGGCGGAACCAGGCCGCCCCAAGCGTACGCCAGCGGCTGTCCCAACAACAACAATGAACCTAGGGACAGAGGCCTGTCGAGGCGGGAGGGCGAGGGCCGGAGCCAAATGGACACCCACTCCTTGGGGGAGTCGCTGACCTCAGACAGCGGGTAAGAGATAGTGTGCGCCGTACTGTAAGAACAGTCATGATTTCCTGTCTGATCGACCCTTTTGCATGCCCTATCCTGATTATGGTTATCCTCAATCCTTATTGATGAGTTACTCAATTATTCATTGTTATGGTGCTTTGATGGAGCATATTAATCAAATTGAATACTTCTACTTAAATGCCCCTCCTGGCACATTTTTTCTTGGTTCTGTCTTATCTCTTGTGTAAACTTCCTCTCTGTTCATCTCTATTCCCTTCTCTCTTCCTCTTCCACAAATCTTGTGCGTTGGGAAGAGAGATAGTGTGTGTTGGAGTCTTAATCTGCCACATGGGACCTTGGAGTTTTAATCAAAACAGCTTTCGGGCAAACCTATACATGTGCCCCATTTCAGCAAGCCTGATCTAACTCACACAGATTTACTGTTTTGTCAGGATGGTTTATTCTGCCTGATTCTCTCCCCAAGCATAACCAATATGCCGACCGGCTTCTACTGTTTCATAAGCATTATACCTACTTATATAAGGCAGACCCCATCAATAATACAGGATTCATATAGGCCGTATTTAAATATGCATATGGAGGATAGGCTATATTTAGCTTAGTCTGGAGTTATGCAATTGAAACTCTCTTGGGTAGGGGCAGTTAGAACGTATGATATTTTCAGAGATATCGCCTAGCTGTAGCCAATCTGTTTTCTCCTGAAAGCAGCATTGTTTAATTTGCCTATTTGCACCAGTTCTGGGGGTTGGTGTGCTGTAACTGAGACAAAGTCAATACAGCTGTTCCAATGTCTACACTATCAGGCAGGCTTGTCAGATTTTTCCCTTTCTTTACATTTTGTTTGGGCTGACTATTTTCTCCCTAATCCTCTTTTTGCCACAAGCCAGTGACAAAGCATCTGAAAATAGTCAAATGACCTTGAATAATGTCACTGGTCGTGATAATGTTTTTTTCATTTTTCACACTCATGGTTATGTTCTTTGAGACGAGTAATCCGCATTTTCATGTTGCGGCCCTGCGTTATCAGAGATTTCTATTGGGAATGTGGGACTTGCTAAGACATATGTTCTACGATTCCAGTCTGTTATTTGTTCATCCTTCTTTATTCCCTCTCATCCAAATCCATTTTGCCTAGAAGCTTACGTTTAGATAAGGAACAGGCCTGTCTTGGCACTCCCATTAGACAGTGCTACTTAAACCCAATTAGGCTAATGATGGTAACTCATCTTACGTAAGATGCCCTCAAATTCAGCGGATTGGCATGGCTAGCCCCCCTTCCCCCAACAAACATCTCTGCCCAGTGATCATGGATGGAAATGTCAAGGACGCTCAGTGGCCTCGGCCTCAAGGCGGTGTACACATGTGCTGGCGTCTTGTTTGCGTTGTCAGTCAGTCACTCCACAAATAGCCTGAAATGATCAGACTGCATGCAGGGACCCCTTGCATCCTGTTGTAGCCCATCAGATCTGCCATTAAACATATTTTCAGAGATAAATTGAGAGATATTCTTGCACTGGTTTAGAGAAATGCTGCTCATTTTCTCAGATAAGGAGCTACAGAACAGTGCAATAGAAAGCCTCTCAATTAAACGTCATCTAAATTGTTTATTTGTCTTGGAGGAAATCCGGCACTAACAGCCACTGTGTATCATTGTGTAATGTGTTCATTATGCCCCATAGAAAATCACAATTACCAGACACTGCATGGTAACTCATGGTCATATGTCTCCATCTAGTGGGAGATGATTTTCTTTATTATTTGTCCACATTGTAGACTGTTATTAGTTATTTGTCTCTTTTCATTTAGACCATTTTTTTAGCACTTTGTTACCCTGTATGTAATTGTTGTTATTATTTGTATTCAATGTTTTCATAGGGCTGAAGGGGATGAAGATCTAGGGAACACAATTTAGTATAATCAATACATTTCAAGTAAACGTGTTTGGGAAAAAAGGTGTGGGAATACTCACTTTCTCCTTTTACTCTGGACGCTTTACTCCCACACATCTGTCTGCAAGAAGTTAAAGGTATTCATCACTCTTCACAGTCAACAGCCAATTGCTGTGGAAAGTGAGCTAATTGTCAGATTGTTACAAGAACTCAATTCTGAGGCTATTTTAGACTGTATTTAACCATTTAACAAGCACTTTGTTTGAAACATAATGAAACCTTTTTTGTTTGTGTTTCCCTACAGGTTCTGTGATGGCACCAGAGGTCCTCAGGCGCAGTCCAAGGATGTGTCCTACTGGAGGAGGAGAGGCCAGGACTTCACTGTGCTACTGGACTATGCAGACCCCCATGGAGGGGGCCAGGGGGGTTGCAGCAGGCCGGAGGGATCTCAGCAAGCAAGAGGCCAAGAGTTTTCTGCAGAGGAGCGTCAGAGAGCAGCTCAGGAGAGGCAGCGCTGGGCGGCCCAGGCCCAGGCTCAGGTGCAGGCTCACGCCCAGGTCCAGGCTCAGTCCCGCTCTAGAGAGAGGGAAGCTGCTCTCCATCAGTGGAGGATGGCGAATGAGAGGAAGTGTCAGAGCCTGGGTACAGATGAGTGGCGTCCAGCCGTGAGCTTTAGTCGCCAGCTGTCCCAAAGTGAGGGTGAGCGTTGGGCACATGAGCAGCAGCGACTCCATGCCAGGACACCAGAGGGTATGGTAGTCCATCCAAGGACCAAAGCCAAATCCCAGTCCCTGCCTAGGATGCTGCAGCCTGAGAGCCTGCAATTCGTGGACATAGACCCGTCCAGTCTGGAACTGTACAGACGGGTCAATGGCCACCCGGTATCACAACATGACTTTTACAAAGCACCCCGCTGGCCGGAGAATGGTAGGCCGGCTAGCGCAAACCAACTCTCAATGACACCAAAGCCCCGCTTCACGAGACCCCCCAGACCTCCCTCTTATGAGATGCACCAGCAGATCAGGGGAAGCTGTGAGATGTTGTCTGGGAGAGACTCAGTGATTTCCCATGCCAGGGACAGAACGCCACTTCCAACACAAAGGATAGATGACCCTCAACTGGACTTTTATGGACAGGACTCTGAACCTCCGGGATACATCGCTCCCCCATCTTACAGAAGAGCTCCTTTGATGGCAGGGGCGTGTCGGGGATATGGTGAAATTGCTGTTGACTACAGGTAAGTCTTTTTTTACCCTTTCTATGTACATTCTTTAATCCTGTATGCAACATCTCACCTATCCTATGAATATAACATGGTACTATATTCAACAAATTTGACAAAGCCTACATAATAGGGTTGAAACATTTAGAAAATGGACTTTACTGATATTTAAAAGGGTTTTCAAAAGGATCACTTACATCATCAGCGTGGTTGATTGTTCTAAGATAAAATAAAAAAATATATTTATATGAGGATTGTGTCCTTTTTTGTGAGGAGCTATATAAAACAAAGTCAGTTTTATGTGATTTTTTGACATTTCTTTATCATATTGTGCCATTTTTCAGTCTTTATTAAATGTATATTAATCATTCAGCCCTACTTTCCTATATGTAAGTCCTAAGCCAGGTGTGTGTAGTTCTTTTCAAATAGATGTTATGTTCGGCAAAAACACTTATTGTTAACAAAACAACTGTGCTCTTTTTGCTTTTAGGTACAGAGGGGATGTGTACCAGCAGATACAAGTGGCTCCAGATGGTTCTCACTGGTTCAGACATCCAGCTGGTTCCTGGCCTGATCACCAGAGAGAAAGGATAATGTCTGGCCAGAAGCAGCTTTACCCCATGTATATGACCCAACAGCGGCCTGGTGGAGCGATTCAATACATCCCCTTTGATGACCCCCGCATCCGCCATATTTCCTCAGCCCTGGGTGGCAACTCCCTGACGGACGCTGACAAGATCCGGCACATCCGCAACGAGCTTCCCAGCGTCACCGTGTCGGAGCCTGCATCCAGCGACAGTGCCTTTTTGCCCCCGCCATTGGGGCCTTTCATCTCAGCCAAACTGGCTGATGATGCCAACCCAACGTCTTCTAGGGACAATGACAATAACAGGTGGCACAGTGATTTGCACAAAGAGGCGGTTGATAACTTCCCAGCAACGGACCAAAACTGCAACAACAGATACCCCAAAAACCCACGTCCTCCTCCATCTCCCTCTTCAGCCTTCCAGGCCCCATTATCAAGAAGTTCTTCTCGACAGGGGTCCAGCTCAGATAAGGTCTTTGCAGAAACCATCACCCAAGTCAAAAAAATTGTCCCAGATACACGGCCAGAGAACACAAAGAGAAGAGTAAGTGAAACCATCTTCTGCCTTGTGTCTGTCCCTGTTCACACACCGACTAACATTAGCAAAGACTTACCAGCAGACCAGAACAATAATGAGACAATACCAAGCCTGACTGTCAGCAACAAAGACATATTCGCTGTAGGACTCAAAGAGAGCCCCAATGTGCGGAGCAAGTCAGTGAATGAAATGCCCATAACACCCCACTACTCTCACTTTCACACCAGCAGCACTTTCTCAATGAGGAACTACAAGAGGGCTCCTCTAAGGAAAGAGATAATAGATGCCTGGGCTCTCCAAGCCATTCAAGATAAAGAGTTGTGCTACTCTGGGTCCTGGCCTGGAAACCAGTACCGTAACCAGGAAACTCAGACTGGCTCACCTTTGACGGTAGTAAAAAGTCCAGAACCCAAAAGTCCTCCTGGGGCTCAAGAGCCTGTTCAGTCTGCCTCAGACACAACTACTGACAGAGGTCTAGGAACAGACGGTAGTTCTGCTTATGGTTACCCCATGGCAGGTCAGAAAAACCTACATCCCTCTAGTAACAGCGCCTTCTCCCGTCTCAGCCTCAGCCCAACACAGCAGACACACCTTGAACCCTCACGAGACCCTCTACCAGAAACAAAGGCCCAGGATCAGCCATCTTCCCCGAAGAAGAGCATCTCCAGTCCCCTGGAGGATGAAGAGCAAGTGACCTTTGGTCAGTTTCTCTTAAAGCCAGTGAATCGACGACCCTGTGATGCCATTGATGAACTGGAGACCATTAATAAGGAGATGGAAAAAACCATCAGCAAGAGAGCCAATGTAGGCCAGTGCATTGACGATCTAGATGGGTTGAATAAGATGTTAGACCTAAATTCAGGAGCACATTTCACTGCTGGTCCAGAGTCAGTTAGGGAAGCAATCAGTTTTCCAATAATGCACACAGAAAAACCCAGTATAAAAGTCAGATCAAAGTCCTTGGCTTCCACCCCTGATTCGGACTCACTGGACTTAAAGAGTGCTTTCTTCAGGCCACAGGCCAACAACATACCACCAACAAATGAGCTACCCATATTCTCCAACCCTGACCCCAAAGACAGTAGCCTCAAGCCCTCACTACCAAAATACAATGGGTCCAGCCGGCTCTATAGACAGGATATCCCAGTCCCTCAAGAGTCCTTGCTGAGGGATGTGGGATTAACCGTCTACACAGAGACTCCTGGGGGTCCTGGGGAGCCAATGCAGCGCTCACTCTCAGTCCCATCTCCACTTGGTCATAAGGACCTTAGTCAGTCAATGCAGCTCCCATTGTTGAGCAGGACAGCACTTGTTAAAAATAGCGGTAGCCCTGAGCACAAATCAAATAAAGAAATTCAAGCTAAGGTAAAAACTGAGAGAAAGGTGAAATCCCCACCATTCAGGTGCGAGGTGAATTTAGGCATCTATAGAACCAGGAGTGAAAGCAGTGCATCAACACATAAAGAGGGTTCATCCTATATCAACAGGCTGAACAGGGAAGTTTCTTTTCTGTTAAGGGATGATGCAGTAATTGGTAGAAATGCCCTCTCTGAGCCTCTGAACTACAAGAATGAGTCAACAATAGCAGATAAGCACCTTGAGAACTTACTGAATCAGGAGAAGGCCAATTCTTTACCTGCCGAAGACCTCAGCAAGCTCTATGAGGTGAAATTTGGAGAAGGCATCCCTGAAAATGAGTCCATCGAGCAGAGGGCTGCCAGAATCCTGGGTATAGCCGTTCCTGTGGAGGCCTTGGGTGTGGCTGACAAACTTTTAGAGGACAACCTCAATGATATGGGTACCACTGTCATCGAGAAACTACAAAGCCAAAGCGATGAGCCACAGCAGTTGATAGCAGAGTATGAGCAAGTCAAAGAACCTGGGATTGTTCAGGGAGCAAAGCATGAGCAGATCCAAGATGAGCACCTGATCTTCCAGGAAGCAGAGCATGAGCAAGTCAAAGATGAACCTGTGATTGTTCAGGGAGCAAAGCATGAGCAGGTCCAAGATGAGCACCTGATCTTCCAGGAAGCAGAGCATGAGCAAGTCAAAGATGAACACGTGATTGTCCAGGGAGCAGAGCATGAGCAAGTCAAAGATGAGCCCGTGATTGTCCAGGGAGAAGAGCATGAGCAAGTCCAAGATGAGCCCCTGACTGCTCAGGGAGCAAAGGCAGAGGAGGTCAAGGGGAGAGGTTCAGAAGTGGACCTCCAAGAAGGATACAGACAAAACCACAGCAGCAACCACAGTGATGGTGAGGACAACCAGGATACTGGGATTCAGTCCCTGGTGGTACTGGACCTGCCCGAGTTTCCACCTAATAAGCTTCCCCTCTCCCTTCCCGTAACATCTGATGACAAGCTAGCACTTAGCATTTGCAGTATAGAGAGGAAAGGGCGAGGTGGGACATGCAAACTAATCGAATCCATGCACGATAAGCTTAATTATTCCGCTTCTTCTACATCTTTGCACATGTCAACTCCAGAAAGAAGGGCCCGTCTGAAAGAGCTGGACTCAGTATCTCGAATAAGACGACTCAGCCTCAAAGGTTCGGAGTCTGGGGAAGAAATGTATTCTAAAGAAATGGACAGTGACAGAGAGGAGAATGAAGTCCAGGAAGTGCCAAAGGAGCAAGTTGTAGGGAAACAAGCAGAGGAAGAGGATACAAAGCTTAAGGAAGAAGCAGGGAATGTGGAGGAGAACCCAGATGAACATGAGAATGCACATAAAACACATGGAAAGTTGGGAGATCCTGAAGAAGATTGTAAACCTAAAGAAGAAGCGAATGGAGGGATATGTCAGGAAGAGCAAAGACAAGGAGAAAAGACAGAAGAGATGAATGTTGAGATTGCACTAAAACTAGAAAATGAAGGGAGTGAAGAAGTACATGTTGAATTAAAAACAGTAGAGCCAGGAGAGAAGATGGAGCTTCAAATTGTTGAGGATTGCAAAGAAAAGCCTTTGGAAAAGGTGAGAGAGTGCCAGAATACAGCAGAGGTCAGAAGAGCTGAGGCAACACAGGGCACTAAGGTGAAAAAGGTGCCCAAACCAAAGCAGCGCACAAAGCTGCAGAAGCCTCCTCTGCTTCCTAAACCTCGCAGTGTTCCCAAGAGAGAAATAACACTGCCTGTCAGCTTCAGCACTGGGACCCGTGGCCCCTCAAATATGGAGGATGAGGAGAAGCACTCTGTCTCAGGTTAGTTTGAAGGAATTAAGAGATTGTGATTCTAATTTTAAAGGAATTGCTGGAAAAGAAAAATGTTTATATAAATATTTTCTCTTTTGTCGTGAGATGATAAAGTGTCTATTTATCATATACCAATGCATTATGTGCTGATCTTATGTGGTTATGTGGTTTGCCATCCCCAATTTTAGTTACTAGTTATTTAGAATGAGCCAGGCAAGCTGTTTCCTTGTGCTTCCTAGATTTATGCTAAGCTAGGCTAAGCATGGCCTGACTCCAGCTATAATCTCCACTTTAAAATATAATTCACTGTAGTTTGCCATATTGCCATATATTCTTTGTTCTAAATGTTTTTGTTTTTTATGCTTTTAAGGTTCTTTCTATATTTAAATTTGGTGTAAATACTTGTCTTTGGTATTCTTTTTTTAATGCTAAATAGTTTCTTAAAAACATTTATTTGTATTATCTTTAAAAAAAATTGAAACCTGCTATTGCGACTTATTTTCTTAGATCTGTTTATGTTCACACCAAAGGAAATTCCATGTATGTGTAAACGTACCTGATTCTGAAAAAAAAAGCATATTTTATCAAATGTTTATGTATTCCTTTAAATTGGCCCCCTACTTTTAACAAAGTCCCCGTTAACATTAAGTGTTGCTCACTGACAGGCAATGTGTGAATCCTCAAGCTCTCACAAACTGCCAAATCTCCACAGCGTTCCTTTGTATTCCAAATCCTCAGGGCAAATAATATTGTTCTGTTTTGTTACCATTTCGTTTTCTCATCTTTTCTCTCCTTTCTTTTCTCATCAGACTCCTACGACCCCAGTCGAGTGGAGAGAGTGTAACCTCTGACACTGCCTTCACAACAGTGGAAATCTGTATTTCTCAAGTTAACAGCTTTTCCCAACAACAAAGGCTTTCATCACACCTCACGGCTTAGTGAGCTGTAACCCCCTTCAATATTGTTACGCATTACTTCTCAAAGAACTGACTGTCCTGGTGCTGCGAGAGCATTTTTTACAGCCAAATGAAAAGGCATTGTCGGTGCCAATTCTCCGGGCCTTTTCAACCTCGACATCCTCGTCCTTCCATTTTCTCCACCTCTCCAAAAGTTTATTTGGTCAAGCAAGCAGACTTCCTGCTTTTGAAGTTGTCTTATTTTGCTTTTGGAAAATGCATGTCATTATTCCCGTCTGCACTTTGGCTCCTTCTCGAGCTTGGGTGTTGAAATATGAATGTAAAAGTGTTTCTACTCAACATACAAAAGAAATGTAACAGAAAAAAACAAGGCAACAGTATTGCATTACAATCAGTATTAACCTACACCAAATGTAAATAAGAAAGAGATTTAAGATTTTATTAAGAATATAAAAAACAAACAATTTAAGTCATTAAATTGCTGGAGAAATGTATATTTTCTTATATATGTTAAGAAAAGACTAGATTTTTGGAATTGTGATCTTTGTGTGTAATACTTATAATAAAACCCCCTGTTCTTTATTCTTATACTTGTGTGATAGAGAATGTACTCAGAGAGCCTGGATTGCAATGATAAACACTGTGGTCCTTGAATAGTTTCACTATAAGCAATATAGTTGTCGTATACAGGATATTTGTGACATGATTTAAGAAGTAAATCTCCATTTCAAGGAGCTGATCTCATTTAAGCGTCTGCTTTATCGTTTTGTACAAGTGTTAGGTTTGCGTTGCTGAGATTATTGGCTTTACGTAACAAGTGAGCACCTGATAATCTCTTCAAATACTCAGAGATTACACTCAGAGGGATTCATGTTGTAACCCTCCCCATTCTCCGGCGCCGTCAGTCTCAGCACCAGCAATCGCAACGTGTATCTGAAACGTGTCATTTCAGTGTTATTTCTGCTCATTCTCATCCTGTTGAATAAGAAAACATATATTTTGTGGCATTAACAGAAGTCTATATTTAACCGTTGAGTTCTCCTCTGTTCGCTTCTTAGTTCATGTGTGATTTCAGAAGTGCTTTTTCTGCAGGAAGTGATAGATGTAGCTATATTGATCGCAGTGTGCCTTGTACACACTGTTTCTGTGAACTCCATTCGTGTGTAACACATCCAGTATTGTCCGTTTACAAATCTTAATTTAAACTGGACATCGGTAATCATTCTTTAATCAAAAACTGTTACAGTTGTTTTGGCAATAATAATAATATTCAGCTGAAGAAGCTTAATATTAATGCTGTATAGAACAGTGCTGTTTGAATACTAATCACAGTATCTGAACATGTTCAATAATGTAATGTTGACATATCAGTGCTTTTGTGTGTTGTGGGCATAACTGGCAATTGGTTTACACTCACTTCACTTATGGGGTAGCAATACAATAACATTTAAAAACGTACCAAACTAAACTTTATGCTATGCATTGGACATTACATTACATGTAATTTGTTAGATGCTTTTATCCAAAGCGACTTACATACATTCAGTTCTGTGGGCAATCCCCACAGGAAGAATTTGGGGCGAAGTTTCTTGCCCAGGGACACAACGACATGCTGACTGCAGTGGGACTCGACATCCACATTTACTGGGTTTAATACCAAAATTCAAAGCTAAACTGTAACTTCTGGTTTGCCTGTTTGAACCTGTCACTCTTTGATCCAGTATTTGATGTTGATCTGGTCGTAGACTTGCATAGACGTAGCTGTGACTGGAGTTTGTCAGTGGAAGCTCAGTGCGAGTCTTTGTCCTGTTACCAACCCAGTACCTGTACCTCTGTGTTCCAGGTAATGTGTTATCTGGTCATTCTCGTAGGTCTTTTTGTACTGCAAGTTATTTGTAACATGATATAGACTATTGGTGCACATCATGCTTTGATATTTTCTATTTTCATACAGAAGTATGTACAGCTTCTTTTGTATGTGTGGCATCATTTTTTTTTTTTTTTTTTCTTTGTGCATGAAATGCGTAAGACGTCACAGAGAGAAGGTATGTTTGCATATAATTGCATTTGGTACTATATAGTCTATCCAATAAACAACTGTTATATTTCATATAATGTATATTTTATTTTCAAGAAGTACTACATATTTAAAACAGAACAAGGTATTTTTAGATTATTGTGAAAAGGGAACTGTTTTTGAAGGCACAATATTTGTCTATATTTGAAATGATCATTGAGAGTGATGATCAGAAATAGAGACAAGTGTGTGCTATTGTACAGTACTGCAGACTATTCATAAATAAAAGTCTTTGCATGAAACATGTTGTCACTGATTTTGTTAATTTGATTAATTGATGTTATATTTGAGGAAAAAATGTTGTGGAATGTGCCCAAAGAAAGAAACCAGCACTACTGTGTCATAAAAATATTGCTCACATGACCTACCCCAGTTAAAATCATTAAAGTGTATCATGCTTTACAGCACATAATAGGACAAATTAATCATATACATAAATGCGTTTGTAGAGAACTGAGGAACCACGTCATAGGACCTTCAAAAGGCCTGGCTGCTTTCCAATGATTGGAGTCCATCAAAATATGAGTTATTGATTTAAAGAGCTTGATGCTTAACCTGAAACTGGACCTTTAAATTACCGCTTCATTTATAAAGAGGCCAAAGTAGCTCAGAATATTTATTTTAGAGTAGTTCATTTTAACATTGTTCTGCATTGTGTCCATGAAAAGTCTAAGGAGTCTAACGCAGCCCTGCTAATTAACAAACGTTATGTGTTGTTGAAATATTCTAATGATTATTTAACTAGTTTTTTTTAATTCATTTTAGTTTTTATAAATAACTAATAATAAGCATAAACATTTGAATAATGATAATACAAACATTTTCAATAATTGATCTAGAAATAGAAAATTACTTTGATGCCCCCTATTGGATTATAGAAGTATTGTTGCTGTCCTGAAATCCATTTAATTTACTTATATTGTTTTTTTTCTTCTTTATAGCAATGATTTTTTAAAACAAGAATAGTGGTACATTTACTGACTTTTGTGGTCTAAAAAAGTCTAGGGTCATTCAAAGGGCTTGTAGAAAAATGGGACTTTAAATAAATGGGAGAAAAGTTTTTATTTAAACATACAAGAGCATATTATTCAGAAACATAGTGTCTGAAGCCAAGGGGTCAGCTAGAAATGCAAATCAAACCACATACAGAGGTATTAAGATACTCCAGTCACATAGCTAAACTGTCAGGGGTCAAAATAATATGGGTTATTTGCTTCATGCTCTTATGTTTAATCTTTCTGAATAACAAATTAACAAAAGTGGGCTAAAATATTCCTGTAAAAACTTAAATCTTGAAATGTAATCGTATTATCACTCAGGTGCATATTAAATTAGCCTACTTAATCGCTCTATATTTGGGACAGAGTAAGAGGGCCATCTGCTGGAAAAAGTGGGCATTGTTCTTATTCTTTTCAAATGTATTTCGGAAAGCAGTCCTACCAAAAGAGCTGTTGGGAGTCGCTAGGTCCTGGTGAAAAGGGTGACTAAAAAGAGGTAACTCATTGTTACACTAATTTCTTTGCAGTTTTAACTTAAGATTTTGAGTGAATGTTGAAAAAAACTGTACCACCTACGTCATATCATAACAAGGCGATGGTGGTATAGTGGTGAGCAGAGCTGCCTTCCAAGCAGTTGGCCCGGGTTCGACCCGTACAGATTGCTGTCTGCCACTGAGGAAGTCCAGCAGCCAGTTGCAGAGAGAGGGGCTGAGGCCAAGTTTTGTTAGTTTACAAATCAGCTGCTGGAGGATGATGGTGGTGCTGAATGCTTAGCTGAAATGTAATCGTATTCTTGCTCAGGAGCATATTCAATTAGCCTACTAAATCTCTCTATAGTTTGTGTTGAGTTTTGTTGATTCTGGTTTTTAATCTTTATTGCGTGCACTCAGCACTCACTCTCACAGTATGGGACAGAGTAAGAGGGCCATCTGCTGGAAACAGTGAGCATTGTTATTCTCCTTTTCAAATGTATTTCTGGATGTTGGTAGTCGCTAGGTCCTGGTGAAAATGGTGAATTTAGAGAGGGTACTCATTGTTTCAGTCCTTTCTTTGCAGATTCATCCTATGGTTTTGAGTGACTGTTGAAAGAAAAATATACCACCACCAATAGGCAGTACAAGGCGATGGTGGTATAGTGGTAAGCATAGCTGCCTTCCAAGCAGTTGACCCGGGTTCGATTCCCGGCCATCGCAAAAGCTTTAATATGTACAAATAAAGCGGGAGGTAACATTGGTAATGCAAACACGATAAACGTATCATTGTATCGGATAGCATGCAATAATCAGACATACACATTGCTGCCAACAGTCTAGAGATCAGTCTTGGATAATATAAGACATATATAAATAAAAATAAAAAAATAAAATGTTTCTTTGCAACACGAGGCCAGCTGGTTTCACCCCCTTCCTGTAGTGGGTCTCGTCGTTGTTGCTGATGAGACCCACCATAGTTCTGTCATCCGCAAACTTGAGGAAGTAGTTGGAGCTGTAGGTGGGTGTGCAGTCGTGGGTCAGCAGGGTGTAGAGCAGGGGGCTGAGCACACATCCTTGGGGGGCCCCTGTACTCAGCGTGATGGTGTCCTGTGTGTTGTCGCTGACCCGTACAGATTGCTGTCTGGCACTGAGGAAGTCCAGCAGCCAGTTGCAGAGAGAGGGGCTGAGGCCAAGTTTTGTTAGTTTACAAATCAGCTGCTGGAGGATGATGGTGGTGCTGAATGCTTAGCTGAAATGTAATCGTATTCTTGTTCGGGAGCATATTCAATTAGCCTACTAAATCTCTCTATAGTTTGTGTTGAGTTTTGTTGATTCTGGTTTTTAATCTTTATTGAGTGCACTCAGCACTCACTCTCACAGTATGGGACAGAGTAAGAGTGCCATCTGCTGGAAACAGTGAGCATTGTTATTCTCCTTTTCAAATGTATTTCTGGATGTTGGTAGTCGCTAGGTCCTGGTGAAAATGGTGAATTTAGAGAGGGTACTCATTGTTACAGTCCTTTCTTTGCAGATTTATCCTATGGTTGTGAGTGACTGTTGAAAGAACCATATACCACCACCATATAGCAGTACAAGGCGATGGTGGTATAGTGGTAAGCATAGCTGCCTTCCAAGCAGTTGACCCGGGTTCGATTCCCGGCCATCGCAAAAGCTTTATATATGTAAAAATAAGGCGGGAGGTAACATTGGTAAAGCAAACACGATGAACCTATTATTGTATCGGATAGCATGCAATAATCAGACATACACATTGCTGCCAACAGTCTAGAGATCAGTCTTGGATACATAATCAAACATAGACACATATATATAGAAATACAAAATAAATGTATCTTTGCAACACGAGGCCAGCTGGTTTCACCCCCTTCCTGTAGTGGGTCTCGTCGTTGTTGCTGATGAGACCCACCATAGTTCTGTCATCCGCAAACTTGAGGAAGTAGTTGGAGCTGTAGGTGGGTGTGCAGTCGTGGGTCAGCAGGGTGTAGAGCAGGGGGGCTGAGCACACACCTTGGGGGGCCCCTGTACTGACCTATGTGTTATCGCCGACCCGTACAGATTGCTGTCTGGCAGTGAGGAAGTCCGGCAGCCAGTTGCAGAGAGAGGGGCTGAGGCCAAGTTTTGTTAGTTTACAAATCAGCTGCTGGAGGATGATGGTGGTGCTGAATGCTTAGCTGAAATGTAATCGTATTCTTGCTCAGGTGCATATTCAATTAGCCTACTAAATCTCTCTATAGTTTGTGTTGAGTTTTGTTGATCTGGTTTTTAATCTTTATTGAGTGCACTCAGCACTCACTCTCACAGTATGGGACAGAGTAAGAGGGCCATCTGCTGGAAACAGTGAGCATTGTTATTCTCCTTTTCAAATGTATTTATTGATGTTGGTAGTCGCTAGGTCCTGGTGAAAATTGTGAATTTAGAGAGAGTAATCATTGTTACAGTCCATTCTTTGCAGATTTATCCTATGGTTTTGAGTGAATGTTGAAAAAACCATATACCACCACCAATTTAGCAGCACAAGGCGATGGTGGTATAGTGGTAAGCATAGCTGCCTTCCAAGCAGTTGACCCGGGTTCGATTCCCGGCCATCGCAAAAGCTTTAATATGTACAAATAAAGCGGGAGGTAACATTGGTAATGCAAACACGATAAACGTATCATTGTATCGGACAGCATGCAATAATGAGACATACACATTGCTGCTCACAGTCTGGAGATCAGTCTTGGATACATAATCAAACATAGACATATATAGAAATACAATTTTTTGTATCTTTGCAACACGAGGCCAGCTGGTTTCACCCCCTTCCTGTGGTGGGTCTCGTCGTTGTTGCTGATGAGACCCACCATAGTTCTTTCATCCGACAAACTTGAGGAAGTAGTTGGAGCTGTCGGTTGGTGTGCAGTCGGTGGGTCAGCGAGGGTGTAGAGCGAGGGGGCTGAGCACACACTCCGTTGGGGGGCCCCCTGTACTCAGCGTGATGGTGTCCTGTGTGTTGTCGCCGACCCGGGGATTCGAAAAGTCGTGGGTGGTTAGTAGGAGGTCGCCGACTAAACATTGTTGATGTTTTGAACAGGAGTCGGACGGAGAGAGACGTTGACCCGACGGACCTGAAGGAAGTGACGGTCTGTCGTTAAGACATGCCCAGCCGATATTGTTTCCAGACGAGTCGGGGGCCGATAAATGGGGAACGACTTGGGTGAATGTCGAGTTGATGAAAGAAAGTTCAAACGCCTACTGCTTGATACCACCAGAAGTAGTCGTTGTTGCCTGCTCCTGGGTGAGTCCTTCCCCCCCCCCTTTGGTCGACCGAGCCAACGTTTTCAGAAAAAAAAAAAAAATAATATATATACCAGATTACAAACTAATAACATAGGTTCTGACCTAGAGATCTGACAACGTCGTTACCATACCAGAACTAATAACGTACGATAGGCTAATTATACTATGCAAATAGCACAACGTAATTGGTTACAATGGAGGGGCAAATAAAACATGTAATAATTTCGAAAACGCTACCGGCCCTTAGCTTTGGGCCCGTTGACAGAACCCTTCGTCGATACGAATGGTGATATGGTGGTAGCGGATACATGACGATCTAACCACCACCATATACAAAAAATTGTAAGTGACTTTTGGTATCCTATTAGACGTTTCTTTCCTTGACATATGTTACCTATGGGAGAATTTTAAGGGAAAATGGTCCTTGACGTTGATGGTGTAAAGTCTTTATGTAAACTTTTCCTCTTATTGTTATGAGTGACAAAGGTCGTCCTACCGTGAGGAATGAGACAAGGGTATGACCACTCTCACTCACGACTCACGTGAGTTATTCCTAATTTTTTGGTCTTAGTTGTTTTGAAGTTGTGTTTGATATCTCCTAATAATCCGATAACTTATACGAGGGCTTGTTCTCATGCTAATTAAAGTCGATTCGGTAAGTGTGGTGGTAGTAGGAGGTCGTCGACTAAACATTTGATGTTTTGAACCGGAGTCGGGAGAGAGACGTTGACCACGACCTGCAGGAGTGACGGTCTGTCCGTTAGACCATGCCCCAGCCCGCTGTTGTGTGTCTGTGTCGTCGACTCATGTCCCGGGGGTTCCCTTCACACGAGTCGGGGACGAGATGGGGACGACTGGGGTCTGAGTGTGGGTGATGTCGAGGTTGATGAGGAGTTCAAACGCCTACTGCTTGATACCAACCAGAGTAGTCGTTGTTGCTGCCTCTGGGTATGTCCCTTCCCCACTTGGTCGACCGAGCCAACGTTTTCTATGTAAAAAAAAACATAAAAGATATATACTACCAGATAAACAATAATACATAGCTTCTGACAGAGATCTGACAACCGTCGTTACCACATACAGACTAAATAACGTTACGATAGGCTTATGTTATAGCCAAATAGCACAACCGAAATGGTTACAAATGGAGCCAATAAAAATGTAATAATTTCAAAACGCTACCGCCCCCTTAGTCTTGGGACCCCAGTTGACGAACCTTCCGTCGTACCGAATGGTGATATGGTGGAAGCGGAACATGAACGGATATACCACCACCATATACCAAAAAGTTGTAGGACTTTGGTAAATCTATTAGACGTTTCTTTCCTGACATGTACTCATTGGGAGAGATTTAAGGTGGTAAAAGTGGTCCGATCTTGATGGTTGTAGTTCCTTTATGTAAACTTTTCCCTCTATTGTTATGAGGACAACGGCGTCCTACGTGAGAATGAGACAGGTAATGACACTCTCACTCAGACTCACGTGAGTTAATTTCTAATTTTTGGTCTTAGTTTTTTTGAGTTGGGTTTGAATCTCTCAAAATCATCCCGATTAAACTTATACGAGGGCTGTTCTCAATGCTACATGTAAAGTCGATCGTAAGTTGTGGTGGTATGTAGAGTCGTCGACTAAACATTTTGATTGTTTTGACCGGAGTCGGGGAGAGAGACGTTGACCGACACTGAAAGGAGTGACGGTCTGT